TAAAAGCAACGAAAGACTAAGAATACAAGGTTTTTCTGAATAAGGCTGCCACACGACGAGTAAGAATGTGAGGTTACCATAGCCAAAGCGTATTCCCCTTGCTTCATTTCAAGCCAAATTGACATTTGGCGCAAAGTATGAAAGCGCTTTGACTAGCTCTTTTTCTACTGTCGTAGCTGAAATCTCGCCATCTGTCGTGCAGTGCAACTGAGATTTGATGAAAAAAAGGTGAACGAAAATGACCGCCGGTTGACAGTCTTCATCACAATTGGCTTTTGTTAAATTATAGACCGATTATATATCTTTATCTACAACCCTGGCTGTGCTATGACGTACCGAAATTAATCGGAGAAAAGAAGTATGGAGAAACTTTTATAATGGTCGACTGAACTGGTATCGTTGGACCCTCACACTGGTACCTTCTATGGCTGGGCAGTTTCACGTAGCTAAGTGAAGACAGGCGGCGTTATAGAAGAAACTCGCCGTTGCCGGTTTTCACGAACAGCAGGCCAGATGGTGAGATTGACTGTCACATGAAATGTCGCCGTTTGACTTCTTTCCTGCTTTTCAAGGGGCAGCTCGAATTTGACACGAACCGCCGATAGGATGACTCTAGCCAAATCCTGCTCTTTATTGGGTTACTGCCAAAATTCGCAGAGTCTCACACAGTAGGAGTTCTACTAGTCGTCTGTGGAACTAACCAATTTTCATTATGTTCTACCCCAGCGTAGCAAAATTTATGTATAAGGCTTCAAGGAACCACTGGAACTACACTTAGGAGCCTCACTTTAAACGAAAATAATATAACGCGTTTCTGCAAGGGTCTATCTCTGAAGATTTCATAACTAAAAAAATTGCCTTGAGATCAAGGCTTTCTTGAGTACCAAGGAACTATAGAAATGACTAAAGTGACGAACCAGCAAATTAAGTTAGCTCACCTTCTCGAACAGATCGACGTCTTCCAAACCCCATCCTTCAATTTTCGTGTCGAACCCACCAATCGCAATGAGATCCGCCTAAAAATCCCATATATTCGTAAAAAGTGGTCTGCAAAGCCTGTCCGAAGGATTGAAAAACAAAATAATCCTGTGGACATTTAGGGAAAAATGATCGCATAAATCACCTTATACAGGGCGGCTAGCCCATAACCAAAATGCCTGAAATATCCTCTTCTTCTACCGTAGTGGAATGCATCCGCTAAGAGGCGATCATTCTCAGACCAACTTTCGGGAGAGAATTCCGAGAACACGATCGGCAATTAAACCTGAATTCAGAGAAAACTACAGGAATCCAGAAAGATGGAACAACTTACTCTTGACTACACTGCAACAGATAAAGAAAATGATGATTCTGACATGAGATAATTACTTAAAGGCAAGATTCGGGATAAAATAGGTGTGGAAAAGCGTTCAGTTATGAAGCTATAGGTGGGAGGTGGTCTGTAAAAGAGAAGGAAAGCAAACGAAACCACCGATTACGCCCCGTACAGAGACCTCCCCTATTTCAGCCACATTCCACCTTGGGATAGAGAAGAGGCGAATTGGACGAGTTTCACGAACCTAACTCTACTTGCTCCAGTGTCAATAACATTGGATCGCGATGGGACCGCTGCCTCAAATGCGCCCGCGCTTTTCAAGCAGCGCCACGTGGCAACCGACAGCGAAGGGTGGGGCTTGCGGACGAAGGTGTGAGTTGCGGGTTGGACGAGCTCCTTGCGCCTTTGTCGCGTACTTTCAAGCCGCAAAAGGGGGCCGACATTAACACTTGTCCGCCTGCCTACTACCCACGGGGTGAAACATGTGAGCGCGCCTAATCGCGGAGCGTGTCTTCAAAAAAGTAGGCAGTTGAGGCAATTTATTCATAGCACTACTTGTGGAACAAAGAAAAAACAAAAAAAAGAGGAAGACAACGTACTTGAGCATTGAGAATAGTGTTCAGTCTGACTCGATTCAATGCATCACAAGTGAACAGCATGTCGACATCAGTGAAGAACATCAGTCCATCGGCTGGAACCCGATCGGCACCCTTCATCAGCGCTATTCCCCTACTGAATGGTGCATCGTCCATTTCGATGACTTCTACTCGTACGAAACTTTGACGTAATTCTTCGATAGTCGCACTGGAAAACGAGGCATCAAAAATCAACGCGTTATAGCTACTTTCCCAAAAAGGTCGACAGAAATTAACCTTTACCGATTCTCTCGTTCGTCCTCGCTCGCGTACAGAACAACCACCAAAGAAATATCGCCGGCTCTTGCGCACACATTTTTTAGATGGCCCGCGAACCTATAACAATTAAGTGTCATTTCCAACGATACTTGCCAATGAATGAAACTCGATTAAAATGAAAGGAAAATTTGAAACATAGGAAATAGGAACGAAAATAATATTAACACTGTGAAGTGATTGAGGGTACCTTGCAAATATAGCGGCGCGTCCTTTCAACGGCAAAATCATGTGTAAGTGAGCATTCTCTCCAGTGAAATTGCTGCCTCTCCGGAGATTTGACCTACAGAAACCATTGGGTTGCTTTTTCTCAGTAGACCAATTACTCACCAAAAAGAGCCTACATACCTTAAATTCCTTTCAGACAATGCCTGCAGCGGAGCGAACACCTGCTGTACGTAAGCATGACGCCGTACAGACAATGTGGTTCGATGTGGCGGTCGGAACTTTTTAAACCTAAACAACGTACTTTGAGGTGTCCACCAAAGGAAATAAGCAATGACACGACGAGGATACCAGTAGAGAATAAATCAAATAGTGTTCAAGGCCAATGTTATGAGAAACCATACAGCTTTATAAGAAACCCGCTAAATAATGAAAGTGCCTTCAACGTAAAAGACAAGTGTACTAGAAAGTAATGCCAGAAAAGCGTTCGACCTTGATCTTAAATCCAGGTTGCAAATCGGAGCTAGAGTTCATGTAGATTTTATGTTGAATAATATCATCGCCGACCCCGGTTAATTACTATAAAGACATACCATAGAATCATATCCAAGACGTAGTCGACTCCGTAGCGAGGTTCAACCCTCATGTAGCCATACTGTAGACTTTGGAATTGCAGAACTCTCCCCCTTTGACGTGCATTCGAATTGAACTCTTCGAATAACTGCAAAGACCAACTCTGCCTTCGTGTTTACCAAACTCCTCTCCCATAACAAGGGCAGCGGCCACAGTCTTACTTGCACGTTTTGCAAACAGTCAACCATTTTTTCATTTACGTTACTAGGAGATCTCCACCGCTTACCTGAGTCACAATGTCACCCATTTCCGTCCTTATGCTCAAGTCTACCACGTATGCCGTGGGCAGTTCACTCGATCTGCACAGAACAAGATCTTGTTGTTGTTGATATAGTCCCATGGCGTCAGATCTCGGGAGCTGAAATTCATTAATGTTCAATTCTTGAATCCCCCCCCCCCAGATCCACTGAAACTCGTGTACTCATCAAAATCTCTAACTACCACAAGAGCTTGTGGATTCTGCCCTGTATAGCCAGGTTTTTTATCGCCAAGCAAGTTTTGTTTTGATAATTGACCAGTAGCGTAACTTGTAGCGCACTTGCCCGGTATGCGAGAGATGAGGGTTCGTGCCTGGGGCGAAATTTTTATACATAACCCGGCATTCCTGGGGAACGAAACAAATCTGCTAACATCTCCTAACTTTTGAGCCACGAGATAGAGCCATCGTAAAATTGACGAAATAGGTTTGCCACCTACCACTTAGTATGGTTACCAAAGTGCTTGTATAGCGAATGACCGCTTCTCCTGCGGTAGTCGCTCAAAAAATCGTCCTTTATTTCTTCACTGTTTCCCGGCCTAGGGACATCCTGGAGGGAGTCAGCCACGCATTCTACTTCAATTCAGAGCCATAATATCATTTGATTAAGATTGACAAAGACTTCCGGGGGCCAGCCAAGGTACGAAGCGTTTTTATCTTTCCGGTAGGTCAGGTTCCCTTAAAAGATCTCAAGGATGGAAAGCTTGGTGTGTGGACGTACATAGCCTTGAGTGTATCCTCATACCGTTTATGTGGTAAGCAGCACCACTTTACGCTACATTACTTTTATCCTTCCGATAGTCAGGGTTCTAATGATCCCGAGGATAAAAAAAATATAAATACAAAGTTAACAAGGGAATTTGAGGAATTTTCGTTGAGGGACTGCCTCACTCACCACCCCATAACCCGATGAGTATACCACCAATATTGGTGAGCTGAACCATTCTGATTCGGTGACTCCGCTGATCAAGGCCCCTCCCTAATTTTTTTTCTTTCAAAAACAGATACTGTTCATTGATTCATTTAATGAAGAAAATGGGGCACGCGCAGCGGATCCCTCACCTGTTCGGCATGATCCGTATCAGCGTAGGCTGTTGCACATCACTGCGTTCCGTATGCAAGGACACTCGTCGTGCTCGTAACGCTTGAAGATGAAATGCACGATCATGTGCATGAACGCGACGCATTACTGCTGGATCTTTGATGGGATGTACTGTTATGGCGGCCCTGACCTCCGATAAATCACCTGTGTACGCCTGAAAAAAAAGCTCGTACTCATTCGTCATTCGTCATCATCGGCAATCATTGCCAGTATGGGTCACCTTGCACAGTTCCTCAGCCTCTAAATGGCAACGTCTACCCGAGAAACTGGTTCCCTCACAACCACCTAACAGACTGCCGCTAAAGTAGTTACACTGTAAACAAAGGCCAAGCATACCCTTGAAGTGGTCTGGTTGTTATGAAACAACTTCTGCATCTCATAGTTCCACGTGCAGGCCACTCCCACGTGCCGTCGAATGCATCTCCCAAGTTCAACGTCTTCATGCGTCGTTAGCAAATGCTGCAGACAAGACTCCAGATGTGGAGACAGCAATCTGAACAATTGTGGTCATATAAATTCGAAAGAAACTTATTATTAGCTACACAAGCACAAACCTCAACGTCTCCCTGCTCATCACCACTCCTGGACCACCCATACAGTAGTTGTCAGTGGAGCCCAGCGCCAACAGTCCGTACTCTGCACTATTTCCCAGACCCGCTTGACCAATGGCATGAGCTCTGAAGACGTCATAGGTTGCGCTATACACCCATTATTAATGGGAAAAACAAGCATACCTGGATGAGTCCAACGAGCGTAAGAACTTCTCCAACTCACTACCTCTTACGTACAAATCGTCATCAGCTCGCAAAAACCAATCGAACTCGTCCAACTAAAACGGTTTCACTATTAGTCGATGAGCCAATACGAAACCAAAAGAATGCATCACAAAGTATGTTTTCTTATTCTTACTTTTCCAATAACCATGATGCAAATTTATTAATATATCATTGGAAGCTACTAGGTGGCAAGCTTAACCCATTCACGGTTTCAACGGTTGAGATTATCGCTACCGCCCATGTGGGCCTGCTCCTGGACATGGCGAACCCATGGGCTGCCAGCTGATCACATTCGCTTCCCAGGCGCTAAGAATGTAAAGCTAGGTGGGTAAATCTCGTAATCGAGTTCAAAATGCTTTTAAATTCCTTTACAGGGAAGTGAATATGCTCTCTTTTCGTTACCACCATTCATCGTTTTGATCAAATCCTACTGTTGTTATGTCTAGATGATCTTTACGCATTGGACATTGCACAATATTTTGTGACATTCATGTTTTTGTTCATTTCAGTACAAAATCCGCGGATGTGAGGTTAGGCGGCAGCGCCCACAAAATCGCGTCCGGCCCATGCGACCGAAAGTGGAAAAGGGCGCCGTCGTGAATGTGTTAATTGCGATGGTTAACTGATTTTTTTTTCTTACTAACAATGCATTTGCTCAGTAAGTTGTCCTTCAATCATCCGAATTTCAGTGTCCAGCCTAGTAATTGAAATTCACAATTCGAAAGATCGCGCGGAAAACGTTGGCGCGTACCAAGGTATGCGTGCAGAACTAACTGCTAACCAGGACAAGGTGAATTAAGTCGAATCCAACTAATCGAAATGAGATGTACGCACGCGCCTGAATCGCTGAGCTCAAATCTGCTTTCCTTATCTGCTAAACTCTACCCATGAACGGAATTATGAAGCGGAAAAGTGCAGCGACAGTGGTCTGAACTCACATAAAAGAGGCCGCGTGGATCCGACTCCGTGGTGCATGCCTTGCCGTTTTACCTTTTAAAACAATAGCTAGGAGCCTCATGACATCGTTAGTTTAATATGTTCGCGTATAGTTTCCTGGGCAGAGATTGAGAGCAATTAATCACCAAAATGAGCAATATTCGCACTTGACTGCACAAGGCGTCTGTAGCGCATGCATCAGACATTTTTGCTCACAACAACGTAAGTATTCGTTAACAGCGAGCGCCAAATCCTCCCTGGGACAGACTTTTCCCAGTTCTGAAATTTTCAACAAACCCCAAAAGTTGGGCAACACCTACCCATCAACCCATTAGCAGATGCTGATAATGGAAGGGAACTAAACTTCTAAACAAACTTCAGAAGGAGCAGAAATAGTGCCTGCTGAACTCCAATCAAAAAGAAAAAATGTTTCACAAGAATGCTGGGTTGTGAACAAAACTTTCGCCCCAGGCGGGACTAGAACCCGCACCTCTCGCTTTCCGGGCAAGTGCGCTACCAGTTACGCTACCGGGGCACCATTTCATTCCAACTCAGCTTTTCATGGTATACGTACCATAGCTTTCAGCACTCACACGTATAACGTGTTGAGCCGGTTAGCCGATATCGGCAATGACCGCGAGGCTGAAAGCTTTAGCAATGAATTTTGACTTGTTTTTGTTTGTTAACTGCTGTTTTTGGCGCAAGTTTTTGTTCACAAACCCAGCATTCTTGTGAAACATTCGCAAGGCGAACTGCGGCCAAAAAACAGCAGTTAACAAACAAAAACAAGACAAAAATAGTGTTTGGTTTGTCTGTCGGCATCATCCTAGGATCTACAACGCATTATTGTCAAGTACAACCTCCTCCCACAGCGGCTGTCTCGTCGTCCATGATCGGTCAACTCAAAGAAGTTGTTGTGTAAAAAGTAATTCTATGACAGTCGAATTTTTTAATTTTTTTATTTCTTAATTTTTTTTCGAGTTTTTCGAATCGAAGCCTCAGGTTTGGTCAGAAACTCGTCCTTTGAGGTAGTTTTACCCTCTGAGGAAAAATATAGCACCAATTTGTCCGAAAAGCTTGACAACTGCACTACTGGCCAGGGTCAACCGTCACGTTCGAACATTTTTCGGGATTTTTGCGACCCCCCTCTCGAGAGGGTCCAGTTGCGACCCCCCAATACAACCAGCCTTCCCCACCGCGACCTCTCCCTCTTCTATAGTATTTGATTCTGAGACCAGTTGACACAGCCCAAAACCTACCTAAAACTCCGAAACTCCACCCACTTTTCCCCAAAAACAGCAGTCGAGCGGCCGCTCTATGCCCTGGCGCACTGATGGACCGCAAACGTTAACGCAGCGAATGCCAAGCGACCGCCTCTCCCTCCAAGAACACAAATGCGACACCACCCGCCCCCCGTTCAAAAACAGTTCGAACGGAACGTTTAACCTGCTGCTAACTGCAACACGAGACTTTCTGGCAACAACGCGCAATAAAGCACGATGTTTGCCCATAAAGTCTTATAGATGTAGCTTAAGGCGACTGTTGTTAAGATAATGTATACAAAAAGCTCCTTATTGTTAGCTATGAAGAAAGACACACCAAATACGAAAATACCGAAAAGACCCGAACGGCGCAACCCCCTTGTTTCGGAAATGCAAGACTGCCACCAGCTACCACTGAAGCACACCACCCTTTTCTTCGTGACCGTTTATAGGAGCCTACATGTGATTTCAGACAGGACGGAAAAAAGTAGTGACGGAGAAAAACACTCCATAACTCCTTCCAGGGAAGAGTTCAGCAGACAACGAAAGCAGATTTGAGTTCAGCGTCTCAAGATCCGATTGAACTGTATACCGCATTCATTCGGCCGCGTTCACCTAATGACTTTTCCTGGAAAGATAGACCTGCACAAGGTCCTCGTCATTTAGAAGCTTTATGATGCGCCATGCGCTGAACGATTCTCTTACAAGGGGACGCATGTATGGACCACAACCATGTTTCGTTTTCGCTGAACGGTTTTAGTAGTACCAAAAAAGTGGTGAATAATACTCTTGATGGTTCAATCCCCCGCGGCGACTAAATTTTGCAATCAAGGTTGGCGGCCACTTGTTGGCTTCAAAATGGTCCTGACGATGAATTTGACATCTGATTTTGATATTTAGCGCGATTTGGCACCAAACCGTAGGCGCCAACCCAAATGCAAAATTTAGTCGCCACGGGGGAATCGAACCCTTAACAGTACCTTATGCTTCTTTTTGGTACTGCTATATAACCGTTCAGCGGGAAAGAAATGTGGTTTTGCATTCGCCTACATGCGTCGCTACAATATGCACAAAACCGTTTTGAAAAAGCGCACCCTGCCCTGAAAGACTTCCCTTGTTAGACCCGCGGAGGCATTTGAATGAGCAATTACCTTACCGGGCACAGGAAAGCACTATTATAACCCTTCATCAATTTAATACCAAGTAACCAACCCGGACAACTATGGCGGGGACCAGAATGGCGAAACGTCTGATCACTTTGAAGAAATTCGACCTGACGACCAAGCGTAATGTAGCGGCATTCTTTGCTACTGGCCTATTTGCGCATGCTCTTGACGTACTATTAGAAAAATTAAATACACGCGACACGGAGAGAAAGCAAACGAAGCTGCTCTTGCGCAGTACAAGGGTGGTGTAATCTTTACAGTAGAACACTGTTAGCCAACAAACCACTGAGATGTCGTGTCAGCTGATCTCACAGTCACCAAGTCACGGAACTGACTTTGACCTTACACGGGTGACTCATCGCAGGATTCCCTTCGGATGTCCTTCTGAAATTCGTGCTAATGCCGCCTCTACTATTATACCCCGCTAACCAACCCCAACATTTCGTTATCACTTATCAGCAGGAATAAGCGCGTTGTTACAGCAGATTGAGATCTCGTACGTCAGGTAATACCACTGTCAACAAAAAAGTGACTCGTGCTTGCAAAAACACCACCACAGCCACCACCACCCCGACCCTCCACCATCGCCGAAATGCAGGGGTACCAGGCGCCATCGAATATGTTCACGGCTCATCACACACTGTGAACGAGCGGAAAATATGTGAAATTATTGAAAAGAGCACAACAACGATGACGGCCTTCAAATTATGCAATGAACGATGACTGAAAGACGAACTCGCTAGTGATGAGGAACTGGTTACAGATTATAATAATCGAAAGCGCTTTCGAGGCACTCTTGAAGCATATACACACCCTCAAGAACATCGTCATATTCAGTTATTTACAAAAAGCTACTCTCTGAAATGGAGGACTCACATAATTCTCTGCCATCCACTTAACCATCGCAAAGCTTTTCTTCTGCGGTGGATACGTATCGTCGACACCTTTCAGACGTATAAGCGGCAAATCCGGGTGGATGGATTCTGTATGCTCCGCCACGAAAAACAGTACCTGAGCCAGCAAGTATTATTTTTTTCTCCGAAACGATATTACAGTTACTGGATAATAACCGTGAGAAAAAGTTAAACGCGCGAACAAGTAGAAAGCTGATCAGCAACGGGACATACTTTGCCTGGAACGTGTTTCGCCCATGTTTTCCAGACATTATAGGCTCGTGTATCGACGTACTTCGCCGCCGTCATGATACCCATAAGAATCAAGCCTGTTCGCTGCTGAGCTTCGACCAGTTGTTCGCATTCTGGTGAAGTGGATCGCTTTTGAAGCCGAGCCACAGACGACACACAGTAGCTAAAAGAACCACGACTTCAGAGGATTCAGACGCTGACTGAATGCAGCAAGTCATCTGAACTTCCAAGACTGACAATGATTTTCTCTCTCTCTCTCTTGAAAGATAATCAAAGTGAATTAGGGATTAGGGTAGATAAATATACCAGATATCAACTCAATTAAAATCTTATCTCATGTTCCTTGATCAGATCGAAACTCTCATGAAGTTGGCAACCGTTCGCTCCTACAAAACATAGCTAACTGTACGTGGGAGCCGGGTCATAATCCCAATCTGGTACCCCCTCCCCCTCACCTCCCCCTCCAGCGCCGCAAGTAGAAACTCATGAAATATGAGGATCGCGCCTTGTCACTTACGTATAGACAAAAGCCATGCCTATAGCAATACCAATCAGCACAATCATGAAGAAATTTTAGAGTTAATTTGTTGATTACGAAACTTCACGTCTCTAAAACACCGACCGAACATTTCCAATTATGAACCAACAAAGCCAAAAGGAGCCTCTTCGCATTTCAAACCCCGTTTCAAGTTGCAAATATGACATAAAATTGACGCGTTTTCTCACAAGACTATCTCGTACATTCAAGTAACCCAAACAGGGTGAAAACCTTGACTGGCCATTGAGTAAATAAGCAAATAATCATGTTAGCAAAATGCAATTCATGGGCAGAATGCATTATAGGAAACCAACTCACGTCAGAGATAGACCCAGCAGAGTTCCAATCAGTGTGAGAAAGACAGGACGCGATACGGGCATATTATACGTCTGGAAAAATGAACTCTATTAGTAGGACACAATTCTGAACAGCGCACTCGTTATGACTCTTATCCATTAATTTAACGGTCAAACGCAACGCATTCGGTCTATTTTCGATAAAAAAATGTCATCAATTTATTCCTTTTTCTGCATGAGGCTCTCAACCAAGATTAACCTTTCACGGCACCATTCCCACCAATGGTGTCGTCTTTGAATAAATATGTGCGCATTTTTTTTTTTTTGAAAGAAGGAAACACTTGGTAACGGGTTTTAAAAACAGATGGAAAGCAAAGAAGTGTTTGGGTGGGAGAAGTTAACGAGATCTGCAGAAATTTCGAAAATGGTTCTGTTTTGGGTTCCTCCCTACCTCCCTCAGCATCAACTTGAGGGTAGTGAAATGTGGACTGCATATTAGAGGCCGTGGGACCTTTTGAGAAGGAGAAGTTCTGAGTTACTAGAGTGTGGGTAGGAGGCCTATGGAGGGCGATGGTTGTGCTAACCCCAGACTCCAGCTGCAATGTCGACCCTGCTTAATCAAAAGAAATGGAACAACCTTACTCCACTAGTGGACAGGCGGCGCGGCAACGTGTTAGACAAAAAGGTATTTAGCTAAGAGACAATTTCTCAAGCGCTAGGTAGCTACAACCCCAGAAATAGGCGCGAGCTTCACGAAAATCGTAAAATTGGATCAGTTTCCTTCTATAATTTGGTATTACAGGCAGCGAGTTGGTCCCATCTGGCAACAAGAAATGTGAAGAACAAATACAC